GTGTGTGCTTTTAGCTCGTGGTCAAACGGGACAGTGGTCAATTGCAACGTGGCCAATCGGGACCGTGGTCAATTGCAACGTGGTCAATCGGGACCGTGATCAACTGCAACGTGGTCAATCAGGACCGTGGTCAATCGGGATCGTGGTCAATTGCAACGTGGTCAATCGGGACCGTGGTCAATTGCAACGTGGTCAATATCAACGTGGTCATACACAACGTGGTCGATATTAACGTGGTCAATCGGGACTGTGGTCAATATTAACGTGGCCAAACGGGTGCCACTCATTGGGTCTATGCCTAAGTCCGTGCCGAAAATCAAGTAAATTTTAAACGCAAAATCTTTAGCGAAAAAAACAATTTTAATCAACAAAGTATGTTCCACTCTGCTCAATAACTTTCTGCCATCTCTCCAAAAGCATTATTATTCCTCTGTCATAGAAGTCCTGAGATTTTTGGGCAAAGAAGTCATCCAAGTGCTTTTTGAGGATGTCCAGGAAACTAAAGTTTTTATTATTAAAATTGTTCTATAGCGCCCGGAATAAGTGATAGTTGAAGATGCAAGGTCCGGACTATACGGTGGGTGCACCGAAACATCCCACCCAAGCCGCAATAATTTTTCCCGGTTCATCAGAGAAACGTGTGGTCTGGCGTTGTCGTGGTGGAACACATCGCCCTTTCTGTTCGCCAATTCGGGCCGCTTCTAATCGATTGCTCGCTTTAATTTGTTTAGTTATGAGCAGTACTTGGTCGAATCAATCGTTTGGTTGGGTGGCAGCAGCTCATAATAGACGATTCCATTCCAATCCCACCAGATACAGAGCATTACCTTCTTCGGGTGTAATCCAGCCTTTGCGACCGTCTGAGCAGTCTCTTCGCGCTTCAACCACCCAAATAGCACCGTACATCTTATGGACGTCCGTTTCACGTTCATTTTACTACCATACGTCCATGGACATAATAAGATCGTCCATTGTACGTCCATACAAAGATATACATTGGATGTGCATAAACGGACGTCCAGTGGACATCCATTTAAGATTCCCTTTATATAACTAATTTATGGATATACATATACTCCCGAGTAGAAATGAAATCATGCATGCCTTGTGTATGACGTCAGGGTCCGATAGAGAGGAAGTAAGGAATGCCCTAATAAGGAATCCCTGAAATGTGCCTGATCCGGTACGCCTGATTCCCTCATAGAATTTGATAAACGTTAACCTGAATATATAGCACTAGTACTACTCACTGCCGCGGCGTGGCGACCGCGCGTTAGTCTTTCTCGTAAGTAAAAATCATCCCGTATTAGTATAAGAGGCGAGCCGATATGATGCGACAGCGAGTTGTTGGATCATGGATAAACTTCAATAACCTGAATATACTTTTGATGACTATGTAATTTAACACAATTTAAAAATTAGTTTAAAAAATTGAATTTTCACCCTACTAAAATTTCTGCCCGGGAATGTCCCACATAGCACAAGACGTCCATCGGACGTCTGAATTATGTGCGTTTTATGTCGGTACGTCCGTGGACATGTTATGAACGTCCTAACGATGTCCATTTGTGGATATTCATGGGACGTCCATCAAAGGACGTCCTTAAGATGTCCAAAACATCCATTTTATATCTGACTTCTATAGGCGAATTATGGATGTCCAATATACGTTCTATTTGGGACATCCGTCGGATGTTCGCTACAGGATATTCAATGGATCCAAATCACATCCGTTTTATGTTACCCAGTGAGAAATGATTCGTCGATCAACGTCGAAACAACGTCGAATCGACATCGATACCATCGAATTGACGTCAATTCGACATCATTTCGACGTCGATCGACGAATCATTTCTCACTGGGTAATATACATCTGCGATATTTGGTAGATCGACACACAAATTGAATGTGTGAAATCGTAATTTTTGTTGGTGCGTTCCGTTATTCACTACGAGTACTGACGCTATGATGTCACAGAAGTGTCTTTCCGTTTTAGTTTCGTGCGCTTTCAAACTGCTACAAGGTTTTAACACGGAAACGGAACGCATCACAGTATGCTTCCAGCAGTTTCTATTTGTTTACGTTTCTAATTTTTGTTAAAAATGAGTGAGGTGTCTAATATAAATAAAAATATGATTGCATTAATTGCATACCAAAGAAACTACACATATCTACTTAAAAATTTTGTTAGTACTGAAACTATAAGTATTTAATAAAACATAACTCAAAATACACTCGTTTATTTGCCGAGTAAAATAATTTATTTTATATATCGCACCATTTACCTTGTAACAAATATCAGATCTGTGAGGATCTGCAAGTTCAAGATCAACGATTGTGCATATTTGATCTTTTTAAACCTTTAGTTTAAGTTTAAAGCAGTTTAAGGCCCGTATTCATAGTCGTTCCTCAATTCTCGAGATCAGTCTGTCTTTGTCTCGTGTCGCGTATGGAAAAACGTAGTAGGCGAGACAAAGACAGACTGATCTTGAGAATTGAACAACGACTATCAATACAGGCTTTTAATTATCCGGATTGTCCTGTATTTTCGTTTACCGAATGTCCATAAGACATTCGAATTCGACATCCAATGGAGGTACTGTATTTTCGTCCATCAAATGTCCATTAGACGTCCGAAGGACATCCGATTGGTCCGACACGGATGTCCGTGGGATATCCTTATTTGTCTACCGGATGTCCATAAGACGTCTTATGGACGTAAATAGGCCGGACATTTGGACATAATATGGACGTCCCATGGACAGTCAACGGACGAATACGGACATCCCACGGATATCCATGTCGGAACAATCGGACGTCCTTCGGACGTTTAATGGACGTCCCTGTGCTATGTGGGGTATCCAGTAGAGATTTCAATTTTGTCCATAAAAAGTCCAAAGTTCATCCATTAGATTCATAGTTTATTCATTTACGATCCATAATTCATCCATAATTCATCCATAAATGTTCATTAATGGACAACTTATGGATGTCTATTGGAGTTGCAAATGGATGTACAATGGACGTTCTTTGTACGTCAGCTGCAACTGATATGGACGTTCGATGTATGTACACAATATTCGGTATGGATGTTCAGTGTACGTACATAGGACGTACTTGTGTTTATTGGGTCTGTAGTCGTCAAATGCCGGTCGGAGTCGATTAAAGCCTTGATTTGGTCATCAGTGATGACTGGCCGACCAGAGCAAGGAGCATCTTTGAGATCAAAGTCTCCATAACGAAATTTCGCAAACCATTTCTGACATACACGTTCGCTTACGGCATTCTCTCTGTACACGGCGCATATCTTCTTCTGAGTTTTCGACGCGTTTTTGCCTTTTCGGAAATAAAAAGCGAAATGCACCGAAAATACACGTTTTCTCCTTCCACAGTCAAAATATAATTAAAATTCGTACACGACACGGATCTTGATGAGGGTAGTCTTAAAATGTTGGCACAAATGTCAGCTTTCAGAAAATATTGTATATGATACTCTAGATGTCTGACATATGTGCGAGCTGAAAAATAATTGCAAACGACATCTTTCGGAATTTCGGCACGGACTTATGCACAGACCCAATAATTATCTTCGGACGAGACGTCTACATGTAATTTCGATCAAACATCGTCCGCCTTCAGCGAGCTCGTTTGATCATCAAATTATATTATAGACGTCTCCTTCTTGATGATTACTGGTAGATCTTTAGAGCCTGCGTTATTGTTTATCGATATATCTCTACATATTTCTATATGTAAATCTTAAATGTATGTATGTCGTAGCCCGATAGCGAAATTAGCCATTTAGATAAAAGCCCAGGCGTTTAGCAAAATGCCGCCCGTTAGGCTAATCGACGACGATATAGTCTAATGGCCTGAAAAATTCAGCCTGTTAGATGACAAGTCGGCTTTTCGCCTAACGGCCTGGCGCGCTTTAGGCGATTAGAGAAATGCTTGTTTTGAAGCTCGATGCGTTGTCAATTAATTTTGTTCATGCCTATGCGCATTCGCGGGCCTATTCTTTCTGCGCTTGCGCGGATCTTAGTTAGAGTCAGAGTTCGTGTCTGAGTAACAGAATCTGAGTTGTTCGTTGCATGAGAGCGTCAGCCAGATAAAGAAAACTGTATTGCCAAAAAACGCCTCGAGCTTAATAAACGATAGAACCTGAAGCAACTGTTATCATTAACAAATTCACTACAATTACTACATTATTATTTGTTAATACAGGATAACATAGTCAATTCATGCCTGAACTTTATTTATTTATTTTTACACTTTCTATTTGTTAATGCAAGACGAGCTACTGTGACAACGAGAATTGCAAAGGATTTTTGCTTTATAACAAGCACATCTATTTGTCTGACACTGATTTTTAGCAATTTTGCAATTGCATTTCTTATATCCCTGTCCACCACTTGCCGATTGCTTCGCAGCAGCTTCCCTCAAAGTAAGAAGAACGTTTTTGGGAATGTCAGCCATGGTAATAAGATTAGTGCCCGATTTTGCAATTTTAGTACGGGAGGGAGGGGGAGAGAGAGAGAGAGAGAGAGAGAGAGAGAGAGAGAGAGAGAGAGAGAGAGAGAGAGACAGAGACAGAGACAGAGACAGAGACAGAGACAGAGACAGAGACTGAGACTGAGACAGAGAGAGAGAGAGAGAGAGAGAGAGAACCACCCTTTCAATACCCCACCCTTGGTTCTAATTTTATATACGTCATTTTTTAAATCAGTTACAACGCCAAATATGTTATTAAAATCTAGAGGCCCACGGTCTACAGTGGGAACAGATAATGTAATGGTGTCGTTGATCTGAAGGGGTGGAAAAGTGATACTCGAAAAGGTAACCATTTTTTCGGCCTCTGCCTTTTGACGCTCGAAGCAATTTGACCGAGTGTCAAGTAGTTGTTCGCCCCTAGCGCACAATGAACAGATAACAGCCTGTCCGCTATGCATTTCCATTTTGCACTTTGTGCAAAGAATACTGCTCGAGACGTCTATCTTTCGCTTCTTCTGTGTTCCCTCTCCTTCCTCTTCTTCATCCTCTTGCACCCTCTTTCTCTTGCCTACGTCTTAGCACTGCTCAACACTCAAGTACAAATTACTACATGAGTTCTATTATATTATATTTATCTAGTTTTATTATATTTATTTTAAGTCAATTACCTCGCGTTTAATTGTACATTCTGCTCCTCGAGAGTTTGCTCCAAGTCTTCCTCTGTCTGAAGTGAATTTAAAATTTCATCAGGCAAAGACGTATTTCTTATGCCGCTTTTTATCGGTCCAAGTAAAGCTTCGTACGGGCTCCTGTTTATGACTCTATGTCGCGATGTATTCTTTTGCCACTTAAATCAATATTTAAAGTATGTAAATTTTCAAATGTGAATTCAAGAACATAATATTAATTTAATTGTATATGTAAGAGCCATTACTTGGACTTCGTAGCAACCACGACTCCAATTTGTCGAATCATTATCGATTATCCAGGCTCTTAACATGTTTTCAACGTCCGCATGTGACCTTTCGACACTACCTTGGGTGTCGCGGACGCCCATGAACAATCCTGCAGTGAGGCCAGATGGAAACAAGTTCGTGTATTACTGCAGCCACGAATTCTCGACCGTTATCGCTCTGTAAAATAGTCGGGGCTCCCCATGTAAAGAAGATTTTCGGCAATTCTTCAGCAACGTTAACTGCGTTCTTGGATCTCAAGGGTCGAAGGTGCAAGAACTTGGTAGCGTGATCTTGATAGTTCAGTAGCCAATTGAACTCACCATCACGACACGATTGGAAATCAATTAAATCCACCTGTCCGCGAACATTAAATCCATCGCTCAATATCGGTTTTATCACAACTCCTCGTTTTGGAGCAACCCTCTTTCTGTTAGGGCGTATCCCGTTTGGACACGTAACGATTGGACACCGCTCGATTGGACACGCACTATTGGACACACATTATTGGACACCGAAATCATTGGACACAAGCATTATTGGACACCGCATTATCGGACACAAGCATTATTGGACACCGCATTATTGGACACCGCATTATTGGACACTGCATTTTTGGACACCGCATTTTTGTACACCGCATTATTGGACACAAGCATTGCAAGTTTGGACACTGCATTTTCGGACACCGCATTTTTGTACACCGCATTATTGAACACAAGCATTGCAAGATTGGACTGCATTGGGATTGTCCTGATTGCACACATAACCGATCGGACACGGCAATATTTCCCGATCGGACACAGGCTCGATCGGACACAGGCCCGATCGGACACGGACTTGATCGGACACAGGCCCGATCGGACACATTTTGTATCAGGTTTGCGTATTTCTGTAAAGCACAATA